AAATATATCTGGATGTATTTTGTTAAATTATAAATTAACTGCCTAGCATCTACTTCTCTTCTCATGCCAATATGAAGAGAAACGTCAAAAACGATTATGAACTTAATTGTTTACATCTCATTCACTACAGTAGTGTTTTTATTATTAGTTTTAACAAACATCATTATATACATGTGTGAATAACAATAGTGAATATTTATCTATTGCTGAATTCCAACATGGAGTATTTATCACAAGTTAATGACCATCCTTCTTTCAAAAGAAGACCTTTGTGTTTTTATTCTGACAAAATTTTGCCCAGGACTTCTATGAAACGGTTCAAATTAATACAGTGAACATTTCACAGTATATTTGTCGTTATCTATTATTGAATGTTTATTCAAATTTTTTGGAGGTATCCTCTATTTAGGAATTTTGGTTCATTAAAAAAATGTAACATCACTCCTTAAAAGTTATATGTTATGTAATGATAAATTATATGTGTGATTGTTTATCAATGATCATGATACATGCCTCCTTTAAATTCTTGTTTCCTAAAACCTTTCCCAGTTTTTGTTTTTCAAAAATTATACAGTGTAATGTATCAAGTGATAGATCTTTGTAAATGGAGTCTAATAGTGTTAATTGTATTTGTCATTTTTTAATTTTTCAGAGCGTTTTGTCCCTTGAATGCATCAATTGTGTTTATTATGAAAATTAATATACTATACATGTATTTCTATTGAGGATTATATTTTTATAAATATAAATATTAAGAAATTGTGAACTTCTGATTATGAAAATCCTCTTTGTGTCATTCTAAGTGATCAATCAACATAAAAAAAAACAAGATGAAAGATAGTTTTAATTTGATTCTTAGCATTAAATAGATGTTAGATATTAGTTTTGAAAGTTTTATTTTTACTCATTTTTAAACATTTTGTTTTGCCAGATTACTTTTATTACTGAAATTAAATATGACAGTAAATAGTTTTTACTTGAAAAACTCAAATTATTTTTGGTGCATGTTAATTGAGGAATTGTATAACATCAATAGTACAGATGCAAAAAAATGCTGGAGATGTAATCATTCTATTGCATCCTTTGTAATGGAATCAGTAATAACAAAAAGGAGAGTACCCATAATTATTAGTTTTTTTCCAACAGAATACAAAAATACAATTTTCTGCACTTTTTATTTTTATTATTATTATAAAGCATGGGTGGATTAAAGTCACACATGCCATATGCCTGCTGTGGGCAGCCTGGCTTTGCATGAATTTGTTTTGTAATATTAAGGCCAGACTCTTCCCTGCTAAGCAGAACTTATTATTTTATTATTAGAAATTGAGATTTTAGATTAAAAAAATTATCTTTGTGAGACTAAGACTTTCAGAAGACTTAACAATTCCCCTTAATGTTTAACTAGCTAAGAGGTTAATTTCATTTATTGTTTGACTTTTTGTTTTCTTTTAGCTTACAGGAGAGTGCACTGAACTGGTGAGAGAAGTAATAAAGGCTTCTTTTTTCACACTTTCTAAACAGTGTACTAGAGAATACCACATTTTTTTTTGCATATGTCTTCCATTATTTTGTCTACAATACTTTTGTACACACATATAAAAAAGCACTGCTTTCAATATTGCAGGCAAATCATTATCAGTTTTTGGATTTCTGTTACTTTCACTTCCCTGCATTTGAAGAGTTGCTCAATGATAGGAACATCAAACAATTTCAAAAGCTCTTTGGAATCATCCAACATGTTAAAAGAATCGTGGTTAGCAGCCAGAATTATAATATCCCAAAAAAGGTAATAGATTTTGTCAATAAACTAGTAGGTTTCTTAGTTAAAATTTGGTGGAATAGTAGAGTGGAAAATAATGCCTGCAATGATTAACAATTTGATATTGTAACATTTTCTCTGTTGCCACATAGCCTGGTGGTTAAGATGCTCAACTCACAGTCTGGAGGTTGGAATATCTGTCACCAATCATGATCACCCTTAAAACTAAGGGAGTGTTATAATTTGATGGTATTGTTACGACAGCGGAATTCACACGACGCTGAAAGCATATGCGCTGGAGTTTCTAGAAGGATCGTGACTTATTGGGAACCTCGAGAATGCCCCAGTGTTTGCTAGACACCCTCTTTTTTAGTATATAAGCCAGCAATAGATAGATATGCAGATAGATTGAAGATAGAGATAATTGAGTCAAGCGAACAGTAGGCACCAGGCACCGTAAGTAAAATGTGTGAATCATTGTGATTTATAGCGTGTGTCATAAAGGTTGTTAAGTTTAAAGTGACTGTGGAAATTCTGTGTATTACTAAAATTTATATCAAGAAAGAATAAACAGTTTTAATTAAGAAAGGATTTGTATTGCCAAAGTTCCTCGGAAATAATTTATACCGGAAATCAAAAAACAAGCAGATATGCAACAAATTGGTGTCAGAGAGTGGGACGGAAAATAAAAAAGAAGAAGGAAACGAGAAGTGGCAAATCAAAGTACAGCTTAGCAGATTTGATGGTAGCAATACAAGAACAGCAAAAGAAACAAGAAGAAAGATTACAGCAGTGGTTGGAGGAGAAAGAAAAGAAACAAGAAGAGTGGCTACAGCAGTGGTTGGAGAAGAAAGAAAAGAAACAAGAAGAGAGGCTACAGCAGTGGTTGGAGGAGAAAGAAAATAAACAAGAAGAGAGGCTACAGCAGTGGTTGGAGGAGAAAGAAAATAAACAAGAAGAGAGGCTACAGCAGT